GCCTTTGTATAATAAAAAAGCAGATTATTCTTAGTCCTAATATCATATATAAGCAAGAATTATGTTTGATGCAGGAGCGTTCCTCCTCTTGCTTTCTGAGGATGCCCTACTCTGTGATAAAAGTAGACTCTAATAAACTATCTTAATTTCACTGTACTCTGTGACTCACCATGAATTATTTCCTGTGTGAGATCCAAGTATCCACTCTTGGGGTCTGGGATGAGACTCTTTTCCTGCTATCTATCTATCTACCTACCTACCTACCTATTATCTATCTGTCTATCTATCTCCTGCCTATTGGTTCTGTCTCTTTGGAGAACTCTAATACACATAGCAAAGTTAAGATTAACACACAGAAGCAGTTCATGGATTATTCAGGTGAAACCACAGGGGACATTTGGTAAGGACTGCATGGTTAATGCCCTACCATCTCATGTCACTGATCAATGGTCCCGTCTTTCCTGAACATTAGCATGTCTCTAAGATTTTCTCTTGTCTATCAAATGAATGCAGAATGTCATTAACGGGATAAACCCCAACAGACCCCACAGAATTTTTATAGTCTATATGTCAAGTTATGTCAAGTTGTACTTAAGAGAGATTTTTTTTTACTTAACAGATCAATGATTGGATAGATCAAAATGAACCCTTTAAAGCTATCATATTATATCAGATTGCTGCAGTTGTCTTGCAGGCTCAATGAAGCCATGCTTCCTTGAGTCCAAAACCTGGGAGATGACCATTGGCTCTTCTAGATGAGCTGGTGTTCTCTGGTAAACTACCTACTCATGTTCATTCCATGAGAGAGACACTCTGAATACCACTGCTAAGAATTGTGCTTCCATTTCACTTTGTGGAATGCTTGAAGTGATTTTTACAGAATTATTTTTGGAAATGTTAGTACTTGTGGGACAAATGGGTTTATTGTTACTCCTGGAGCTGGAAGACATAGATTTGAATGCTGACATTGCCAATTACTAGCAGTGTTACCTGTTTCCTCAGTAAAATAGGATATCATTATCTGACAAAGTTTTTTTGAGCCTCAGTTAAAAAAATTTTAAGTTAAAGTCATTTCAGTACTTGAAAGTGCCATGTGGCTGGGCACAGTGTCTCACACCTGTAATCCCAGAACTTTGGGAGGCCAAGATGGGTGGATCACAAGCTCAGGAGTTCGAGACCAGCCTGGCCAATATGGTAAAACCCCATCTCTACTAAAAATACAAAAATTAGCCGGGCATGGTGGTGCATGTCTGTAGTCCAAGCTACTTGTGAGTTTGAGGCAGAAGAATCACTTGAACCCTGGAGGTGGAGGTTGCAGTGAGCGGAGACGATGCCACTGCACTCCAGCCTGGGTTACAGAGCGAGACTCCATCTCAAAAAAGAAAAATAAAACGAAAGTACCATGCAAATGTGAGATACTATTAATATTTTGTAAAAAGTCGTTTCTTCAAAGGTAAGACAATTCATTAAGAAAAAAATCAAATGAAAGCAAAGTAATAAATAAAATTACCTTAAGAACTTTTGAGAGAATTCTGGTTTTGTAGATGGAAATTCGTTTTTGAATTTAATGAATATACATACATTTACTCCATTAAGTCATTATTTTATGCTTCAAAAAGATTAAAAAATTTTAACTGCAAAAAGTCTTCGCCTTGCTTTAAAAGCAAGTTTAACTTTAAGAACAATACACTATTCATACCCAAACCATTTCTAAGCAGTAACAGCCTTAAGAGTCTATTAATGTAAGGGGAAGTGTTAAGTCTTAAAATCAAAATGAATTGAACAGCTGATTCCAAGTCAGCTAGTTTATATTCTAAGAAAATGAAAATGAAGAACAATGATTTAGTGACTCCAGAAGACTCAAGCAGATATTATCCGGAGAAGGCCAATTATTTTAACTCTTTTAGCCAATATTAACTCAGAATTTGTCAAATTCTCCATCTTGGAAGAACTGTGTTGACTCCAGCAGACAAAAGAAGTTCCTTTTCCCGTTAACAAACCTTCTATATTAGACCAGAGGAGGAAACATTTCGTTGGCATTATTCTAAAAATAATCAAACAACTCAACAAATACATATTTTAAAATGATTTTGTATTAAAATAGAATGTGTTTTACTTAATCGGTTGCAATTTAAAGTTCAAAATTTTAAAAATATATTTGTTGTAAACATTTCACCAGGTTCTGTTATCTCTTTTCAATTTTCCTTGAAACAGTTGCTCATTATGATATTTAAATTCTTACATTTGAAAATTAGTACTGATTTTTCAATATAAAAATTCTATGAAACAGCTTGAAATCTTAGCAGAGTGTTCTTTTCATAATATATTTTATTAGCCGGGCGCGGTGGCTCAAGCCTGTAATCCCAGCACTTTGGGAGGCCAAGGCGGGTGGATCACGAGGTCAAGAGATCGAGACCATCCTGGTCAACATGGTGAAACCCCGTCTCTACTAAAAATACAAAACATTAGCTGGGCATGGTGGCGCGTGCCTGTAATCCCAGCTACTCAGGAGGTTGAGGCAGGAGAATTGCCTGAACCCAGGAGGCGGAGGCTGCGGTGAGCCGAGATCGTGCCATTGCACTCCAGCCTGGGTAACAAGAGTGAAACTCCGTCTCAAAAAAAAAAAATATATATATATATATTTTATTATACATATTATATATATAAATACATAATAAAAAATAATGTATATATTATTTTTAAATTTCTTTGAAACAGGGTCTTGCTCCATTGCCCAGGCTGGAGTGCAGTGGCACAATCCTAGCTCACTACAGCCTCTGCTTGCTGGGTTCAAGTGATTCTTCTGCCATAGCCTCCCAAGTAGCTGGGATTATAGGTATGCACCATCATGCCTGTCTAATTTTTGTATTTTTAGTAGAGACAGGGTTCCCATGTAGGCCAGGCTAGTGTTGAACTCCTTACCCTCAAGTGATCTACTTGCCTCAGCCTCCCAAAGTGCTAGGATTACAGGTGCGAGCCACTGTACCCAGCCTTGCATTATATATTATTATTATAGTCTGTACCAACAAAGGCATGTATAGAATTTTGGCATTCATGTTGAAATTATGGCCACAGATTTCTTAGGTACATAGAAAGATTGCCTTATACTCTAGTTTTAGGTTTCAGCAATTTAACCACTGACCATTTTATTGAAATCATATAGTGCTGTAGGTAGTAAGATAATGAAATGCTGCTTAAAAGGCCTGAAATACTTGGGGTTGCGTAATGGGAATGTATATACTACATTGGAGGCTAATTCCAAATCTGGGGGAAGGATTAATAAAATGTTTCTCTTATCAACTCAAAAACGATGAGGTTCCTAAATATGGAAAGGTGAACTTTGTTTTTTATGAAGAATTACAGCTCTCAGGCGGCCACTCTGACAGGGTAGGAAGTGTAGCCTCCTGCCAGAAGCCAGAAACAAGCACTTGGAGGGAGGGAAGAATAAGACAGGAAGTTATGCTGAACGGGGTGGCTGAATATACGGTTTTGTTTGTTTGTTTGTTTGTTTTTTTAGACGGATTCTCGCTCTGTCACCCAGGCTGGAGTGCAGTGGTGTGATCTCAGCTCACTGCAACCTCCGCCTCCTGGGTTCAAGTGTTTCTCCTGCCTCAGTCTCCCAAGTAGCTGGAATTATAAGCACCCACCACCATACCTGGATTATTTTTTCTTTTTTTCTTTTCTTTTTTTTTTGAGACGGAGTTTCACTCATGTTACCCAGGCTGGAGTGCAATGGTGCGATCTCGGCTCACCTCAACCTCCGCCTCCTGGGTTCAGGCAATTCTCCTGCCTCAGCCTCCTGAGTAGCTGGGATTACAGGCACGCACCACCATGCCCAGCTAATTTTTTGTATTTTTAGTAGAGACGGGGTTTCACCATGTTGACCAGGATGGTCTCGATCTCTTGACCTCGTGATCCACCCGCCTTGGCCTCCCAAAGTGCTGGGATTACAGGCTTGAGCCACTGCGCCCGGCCTATTTTTGCATTTTTAATGGAGACAGTTTTCACCATGTTGGCCAGGCTGGTCTCAAACTCCTGACCTCAAGTGATCCACTTGCCTCGGCCTCCCAATTTTTGTTTTTAAGGCAGAGACTCACTCTGTTGCCCAGGCTGGAGTTCAGTGGCTCCATTTCAGCTCACTGAAACCTCTGTCTCCTGGGTTCAAGTGATTCTCCTGCCACAGCCTCCCAAGTAGCTGGAATTACAGACGTGTGCCACCACACCCAGTTAATTTTTATATTTTTATTAGAGACAGGGTTTTGCCATGTTGGCCAGACTGGTCTTAAACTGCTGGCCTCAAATGATCCACCTTTCTCAGACTCCCACAGTGCTGGGATTACCAGCACTTGAGCCACCGCTTTTGGCCTGGATATACTTATTTAATAAGCTGTATGAAAAGTCACAAATATATGAAAGGAGAAACGCACACATGCGCAGTTGAGCTTCATGCCAGTCCACCGGTCTCATGTTAAAAGTACGGTGGCATCAGCATCATCTGAGGGTGGAGTTTTCAGCCTTCTGTCTCAAAAGGTGAAGCAGGGAACACAAAAACCCTCAGTATGCATCCTCTATAAACTTGCAGCCATTTCATGTTCGGTGGTCTCTTGTCAGGAGAGAAAGCTGATTGGTTGTTTTGTCAAAACTGCAAAAGGAGGAACAGTCACAAAATTGGTGGAAATCAGTGGTGGAACCAGTCTTTCCTAACGGCTGGTTTCTGTTTAACCCTTAAGAAAGAAAGCCTAGGCCAGGAGCCATGGCTCACATCTGTAATCCCAGAAGCTTGGGAGGCTGAGGCAGGTGGATCACCTGAGGTCAGGAGTTCAAGACCAGACTGGCCAACAGGGCGAAACTCCATCTCTACTAAAAGTACAAAAATGCCGGGCGTGGTGATACATGCCTATAATCCCAGCTACTCAAGAGGCTGAGGGAGGAGAATTGCTTGAAGCCGGGAGGCAGAGGCTGCAGCGAGCCGACATCATGCCACTGCACTCCAGCCTGGGCAACAAGAACAAGACTTCATCTCAAAAAAAAAAAAAAAAAAAAAAAAAACCAAGCTAGCAAGCCTAATGGCTGCTAGTGGTGGGTGAACGTTCAATCTTCTATGTCATCATGGCCAGGAGCTCAGTTTTCAAGGTTTCTCTGTGGTATCCTTTGCCAAGAGAGGGGTCTGTTCAGCTGTTTGGGTGGCTCAGCATTTGATTTTTATTTCTTGCTCTTAAGGGGAACATCAACTTAAGAGTGTCTTGTCCATGCGATTGAAATGTCTTCTAGTTGTTTTCAAGAAGAATGTCCTTATTTGAACTTCCCTGAAAGCAGGGCCTGAGACAAATATGTGGGCTCATATTTGTTTCCTTGGGAGTGAGTCCCAGGAAGCAGAAGTGAGGGAATAGAGGCATGAGACACTAAGTGGGAAAAACCGTGAGTTATTGAGCTTGCTGCCCCCGTGGACAAATGGGGCTCCATTCTGTTGAAGAGCTTCTAAGAAACTTTTAGAATCCCTCAGAGATGTTTCAGGGAAAGACAGGGAGACTGGGACACCCATCTATTAATTTCTGTCTCCCATTGATTGTGGATTTTGCTAGAGGCACTTTGGCACCATGCACTTCCAAGTGTGCATGTGTAGGGGAGAGGTGGGCTGAGTTGCTTTGAGTGACTTCAGAGAAAGTCCAAATTGTGAGATGCCACAGCACGGCTTGAGGTGGGATGCTGGTTACTTGCACAGACTTGTCTTTCACAGCTGTGCTGAAATCTGGAGGCCAAGGAATGTGGTTAAGATACCACAAGTGTCTGCTACAGATAAGAGAAAGTAAGTAGTCTGAGAGAAGTTATTATCCAATTATTTCTAATAGAGTTGAGGGAATGTCATAGCTGTAGGGTCGTGGTCTATACAGAGTGGGGATGAGATGAGAATATGCTACCCCAAAATATCCCTCTTTGGCATAAAGATTACTGTGAACTGATTATTTTTAGACACTGTAGACACAAGAGAAGTTTTGAAAACACAAAAATTTCCCTTTTGTAAGGGAAACTTACATCTATAAAGAAAATCTCCATTTGTAAGTGTGTCTCCTTCTCTGTACCAAGAAGGGAAAGATGATTAAATTACTAGAGACTCACCCACCTAAATCTGCATAACAAGCCTTACTCTTATTTACTATGCTTTTTCTGGTCACCTCTCCGTTACTGGCCTTCCCAACACCCTTCTTTCTTTGTTGCAGCAGAAGATGGTACAGAAGCCTGAATGCCAAGCCACCTCTTGGAGATTTGCTTATTTCTTTGGGTATCTCCTAGTATACATGAGGTATATATGTTATTAAACTTCTGTTTGCTTTTCTCTTGTTAATGTGTCTTCTGTTACAGGTGTCCATCTCAACTAAGAACTCTGAAAGTTAGAAAATTATTTTTCCTTCCCTACAGTTTAAGATAAGAGTTAAAGGCATTTTCTTGTCTTACACAGAAGAAGGAGAATGCTGTGATTTTTCATGATTAATGTTGATTATCAAAATTGATGTCTTTCTGTAATGGCTGAAGTCTAATAAGCTATCCTGATTTGAAGAAAGCAGGTTTTCAGAAACACAGTGTCATATGTTCTGATCTTAAGCTCATTAAGTAACCACTGATCTGCAATTTGGTATCCCAGATGGACCTACCCTCAGGAAGTGAATGTCCTGTGCAAATGGCCATTTTTCAGATAAAGTTCCCAAGATATGTAATAGTGTTGTAGGAAAACAGCCGGGTTCTTGCCATGCAACCTGGAAAATGTAGGCATGCAGATGCATCGTAGGGTGAGTAGGGCAGGGTTTATTGGGTGAAAGGATTTAAAAAAGGGAACTCTCAGCAAAGTGAGAGAGAGTCCTGCTAGCAGTGCCTCACAGATTGAATCCCAGGTCACCACCCAGGAACTGAAGAGGGGAGGCTTTTCCGCACTGTGCTGCAAGTGGTAAGAACTTCCCCGCCGGGCGCAGTGGCTCACACCTATAATCCCAGCACTTTGGGAGGCCGATGTGGGTGGATCATGAGGTCAAGAGATCGAGATCATCCTGGTCAACATAGTGAAACCCCGTCTCTACTAAAAATACAAAAATTAGCTGGGCATGGTGGCGCACGCCTGTAGTCCCAGCTACTCGGGAGGCTGAGGCAGGAGAATGGTTTGAACCCAGGAGGCGGAGGTTGCGGTGAGCCGAGATCGCGCCATTGCACTCCAGCCTGGGTAATAAGAGTGAAATTCCGTCTCAAAAAAAGAAAAAAGAACTTCCCATAGCTCCACCCAGTCCCACCAGTGGGCAGGTGGGCATTATTCAGAATCGGTCGGGAAGGGGCGGGCCTCATCCGGGGCCAGCAGTCAGGTTTTTCAGCCTTCAGGCTGTTTTATGGTTGGAGGTGGGATTTCACTGTGGATCCTTGGCTGGCTCCTGTCTCTATCAATAGCATATTGGAATGCAACGTGGAGGCAGCCTCTTGGAGACTTATTATCATGTATCAAATTCTTATCCCACAGAAAATCAGAGTTGTAATTTGTAGGGTTGTTAGGTAATTGCATCTGAGATTTTGAATAATCATCAACAGTCACCTAATCTGCATCCCTTATGTTATAAAAAGGCTAATAGACATTAATAATTTACCTAACATCAAATAGTTTGTGAATAGATGGCTGGAACTCTTCAGACTGGAATTCAGTTCAATACTCTGCCATGGCATCAAAGATAATATGCATTTGTCAATTTGCTTAATCAATATTTCATTTTTGTACCATGCAGGGTCATTGTTTAAGTACACAGTGATATACTTCCTGACCTTTAGAATTTTAAATCACTGGGCTTAGTGAAATCCTGAATGCAAGCATTTGGAGCATTTTGAATACCAAAAGCCAAAACCCGTACAGGTAAATGACAAGCATCATTTCCAAAGAATGTCTGAACAGCTGGCTGAATAAATCGGCCACAGTCGACACACTCTTTTCCCTTGTCTGTGGAATTTTTCTTCCTAGAAGTGAGGGACTCCCTTCAGGGAAAGAGGATAACAGGTAAGCGTATTCACCGTTTGCCACCTCTAGAAAGAAAACGCTGCGTATTTATTCATATGTATGATATATAACACACAACTAAACTTTTTTTTTTTTTGAGACAGTGTCTCTTTTTGTTACCCAGGCTGGAATGCACTGGTGCAATCACAGCTCATGGCTCATAGCCCACTTCCTGGGCTCAGGGGATCCTCCCACCTCAGTCTTCCAAGTAGCTGGGACCATAGTGCACACTACCATGCCTGGCTAATTTTTAAATTTTTTGTAGAGATGGGGGTCCCACTATGTTGCCCAGGCTGGTCTTGAATTACCAGCCTCAAGCAATCCTCTGGCCTTGGCTTTCCAAAGTGCTGGGATTACAGGTGTGAGCCACTGCACCCAGCTACAAGCAAACTTTTTAATCCAAAGAGACACATGGTGTGGAGTCCAGACTGCTGTGACCATCCAATGTCAGGGAAAGCCTGGCACTTCACTGTCAAAGACATTTCTAAAACATGGGCTGGACTCAGTGGCTCATGCCTGTAATCCCAGCACTTTGGGAAGCAGAGGCGGGCAGACCACTTGAGGTCCAGAGCTCGAGACCAGCTTGGCTAACATGGTGAAACCCTGTCTCTACTAAAAATACAAAAATTAGGCTGGCATAGTGGTGTGCTCCTGTAAATCCAGCTACTAGGGAGGCTGAGGCAGGGGAAACGCTTGAACTTGGGAGGCAGAGGTTGCAGTGAGCTGAGGTCGTGCCACTGCTCTCCAGCCTGGGTGACACAGTGCAAGACTGTTTCAATAAACAAACAAGAAAGAAAGAATGAGAGAGAGAGAGAGGGAGAGAGAGAGGGGGTGGGGAAGGAGGGAAATTTCTGAAACAAAAGAACACAATAGCCACTGAAATTGTATTTAATATACGTGCTTTGTGACTTTGGTTTATACTTTTGTTCCTGGGGACTTGGAATTTCCATTGTTATCTCCAGTTTGGAACCGGCTATAAGCCAGTGTCTCCCAGTGGCTCTCCAAGGGCATTTTCTACTCTGTTTGGGAAGGAGATAGAACCTCATTTTCCTTTCTACATTCCCTATGAGTCATTCAAAGTCCTTGAAATCATATTTCCCAGGAATCACAAATGAACCAATCTAGACTCAGTGGAGATGATAGACTTTCTTGAGATCCTTTGGATCTCCTAGGTCCAAGGATTGGTATTTGTGGTAGTGGGTGATGTCCAAGGGTGAAAGAGACCTGTTACTGTATTCAGAACCCTGAGAGTTCTTTCTGTCCTTCACTTCAAGGAAAAATGTCAACATTTTTCCTTGGACTTGCTCCTTCTGATGTGGATGCCCTTTTCTGGCCACTTGAAGGACATGAATGAGAGACCCAGGACATACGGGCTGGGGAAGGAGTAGAGATTGATGTCAGCTCTTTCCTGGAAAGGGTAACAGAAACTACAGGGCATGATGTATTGAAATAATCAGAGTGAAAATGCTTGTATATGCTAATCTTATGTTTTCTTTTTGAGACAGCGTCTCCCTCTGTTGCCCAGGCTGGAGTGCAGTGGCGCAATCTTGGCTCACTACAACATGCGCCTCTGGGTTCATGAGATTCTCCCACCTTAGCCTCCTGAGTAATTGGGATTGCAGGCATGCACCACCATGCCCGGCTAATTTTTTTTTGTTTTATTTATTTATTTTATTTTTAGTGGAGACGGGATTTCACCATATTGGTCAGGCTGATCTGGAACTCCTGACCTCAGGTGATCGGCCCACCTTGGCTTCCCAAAGTGTTGGGATTACAGGTGTGAGCCACAGCGCACAGCCTAATCTTATGCTTTAATTTCAAATATTATTTTAATAATTAATGTTCATATCTCTTATTTATTGAATGAAAAAAATGCAATGGGTTAGATAAGTTCTAGAATCAATGCTCTATAATAAACTCTAAAAAAACCCCTTTCATTGTGGAAAATGTCAAACCTATTTAAAAGGAGTGAGACTAACATAAAGAACCTGGGTACCCATCTAATCCTGCTCCAACAATTATACAATATCAGTTCATAGCCAATTTTATTTGATCTGTGTCTGTCTCTATCCCTCCTCAAATTATTTTGAAGCAAATACTGGGCATATTTAGATTTACCTTTAATCTTTCTTTCTTTTTTTTTTTTTTTTTGAGATACAGGGTCTCCCTCTGTTGCCCAGGCTGGAGGACAGTGGCACAGTCATGCCTTATTCACTGCAGAGTTGAATTCCTGGCCTGAAGCAATCTTCCTACCTTGGCCTCCCAAAGTGCTGGGGTTACTGGCATGAGCCACTGTGGTTAGCTTAGATTTACCTTTAATGGCTTTTGATAAGTTGTTTTTTAAATGTAATTTTAATAAAATAATCATACCTAAAATTTACTAATTCCTTGGTATCGTCTACCATCCACTGTATGATTCAATTTTACTGATTCGTTCATAACTGACCCCAGAGTTGGTTTGTTTGAATCACTGTAACTGGGCCTCTATTATAACAATCATAAGATGCTTGTTTTACCCACTTTCCCTTTCCCCATGTCCTTTTCTTTCTCTATGCATGCTTGCTTGCATGTCATTATTTCAGTAGAGGGTAGTCACTAATCATTGATTAACTTCATATCCTAACCCACAGGGCTGCCTGTCAGATTGATGGACTTGTTTTTCTTTTAAAGAACCAGGATCCTTAGGGTATGTAGACCTCCTTGATGGTGTCCAGAAGTTGTAGAGGGACGCAAACAGCTTTGATCACTGGGGGAATTTCATCTCCCACATACCCATCTTTCTCATTAGAGTCCCCAGTTATATTCAAAGGCAGGGCAGATTTGAGAGACTGTCTCTCCTGCCCTCTTGCTTTGGTCAAATCAAGTAAACCTTTCTCTGTTCCTGAGTGCTGGTATGTGTGGCTTACTGTGTGTCAGGTGCACAGACCTAAATTTGGAGATTCTGTAACATCAAGGCCCATATGAGCCTCACTTATTGCATTAGGCTGATGACTCATATACCTCTCTTTTAATGTGGGACCATTTCCAATCTCTTTCTCTCTCTCCTCCCTTTTTTTGGGCAATTTTTTTTGTTATTAATAGTCTTGTTTTAAAGTGAAGTACTGTCATTTAAGTTTATCCATCAATGTTATCATTATTTTTTTATTTGCCACAGAATTTTATGCCAAGGCAGTCATCCGATTGCCCACCTGACATGCGTTTCCACCATCAGTTTTACCTGTGTGTGTCCCTGGATCATCAGGAAGCACTGATTGAGAATCTTTTCCTCTTAATCTGCCTATTTTCTAATATAGTTACCAATCAAACTTAGTAGTA